TCAAGACACGTGTCTTGTGTTGTCTCCTGACACCTATGGAAAATGAACTTGAACCGGGTTACCATGATAATGTGATCGGGTAAGACCCCGACTATCACGAACAACGACAAACCTAGTTCGCCAGGGTCATGTAACAGCGGTAGTAGTGCGACAAAATTAGCTAAATTTTCGCCTAAAAATGACAAAAATCAGCCGAAAAACGTAATCGGCCTGTATCTCGGAAACGGTTGATTTCTGAAATCGGCGATTTTGGCTGGGGAGTAGGCTCGATGGGTCGACCAAACCCTGTGAGTATGAACTTAATCGGCCGACCCCCACCTTCGAACATCTGCCTGATATTGCATGACTTTCTCGTGGAATGGCTCTTAATCATTTTTGGACCATTATACTTTTTGACCAGGATATCTATTGTGTGTGGCTAAGTGGGTAAGACGCTGGCTCGCTAGCCTGGTGTTCGATTCCTGCATTGGCCGAGAAAGTTCATCTAGATTTTCCGGCGTGGTTCCCCCTTGTCAGTGATGCAGGACGGAGGTCCTGACATTGACAGCTGCTGCTGTCTAGTCGTGAGAATGGGACAAAAACCGAGGTCCCGTGTACACATTGGCGTGCACGTAAAAGATCCCTTGACAGTTGGAATTCGATATAAGAGTTGGCCGTAGTGCCGCTGTCCGGGCAAAACATCCCTCATAGCGCAATGTATGGCGTAGCGTATGCCCGTCTTCATTAGCCCAGTTCGGAGCAGAACAGTAGGACGTTAAACCCCATTTTATTTCATTTTATTTTCTATTATGTGTGGTTGGTAAGTCTGTATAAATTAAAACTAACCGACAACATAGTCTTATTTGCATTTTAGTTTGAAATGTTCGGGTTTTAATTAGGTGTGTGTTATGTATGGAAGGGTATCGCTGCCAATATTAAATGCTCTGCTACAATGTCTTTTCTATTGATTATATGTAAAAAGTACAATGAAAAAGTCATAATACCGGTAATGATAAAGTCAAAATACCTCTAAGGCAAGAGTTAAAAGTAAAACGTCAAATGTTAAATGACAAATGTTTTGTGGGGAAATGCTTTTTTTGACGTGTCTACATTTCACATTTCTCTCATTACATTTTACATTTGCGCTCTGCCATATCCCATTTGTCCTTCACGCTTTCTACATAGCATGTTTCGCACAGCATCAACTTGCATATGCAAATGTAGGATATCACGTGACTTATTAACATATTCGGAAACCTGGCACACTATAAGCCAGAACAAGGATATTCACGACACTATAACAGGAAATCAGCCTAGCACACAATAAAAATTTACTCACCTTGACACTTTGGATGGCACTTTATGATGATTACGGTGGGGGTGGGGGCTGTGCAATGCCCAAATACGAAATTTCAGGTATCATGTTACATATTAGTGAAAAGCACATTCTTTTCTGTTTGTAAATATGTAAATAGTTTTCTGGTACAATCGTATTTTCATAATTTAAATCTAATAAATATCACACTATTAAAGGGGTATTCAAGTAAAAATACTGGTCTAAATACGAAATTCCAGATACCATGTTACGTATCACTGATTGCTCTTTCTTTTCAAATATGCAAATAATTTTCTGGCACATTCATATTTGCTTAACTTTACAAATTAAGATTAAAGTTGAAGTGAAGGAAGGGGCGGGGGACTAAAATAAACTAAAATAAAGATACAGGGTTTAATCAAAAATTCTCTATGTCCATACTAAAAGATGTATAGTCATTCCTCTCTTTAAATATAGTATTTATTTGTTGGGCACAATGCTTATATATTGTTTTTTTAATGGATTAAAGTACTCAACTCTGTTTATAGAGAGACCGGAAAGAGTGGGAGTGTTTAAAATATCAAAATACGGGTATTATTGTGTTATAAATTACTGGAAAGTATGTTTCTTTGGCTGTTTGAATCTATCAATTATTTCCTGGCACATTCAAAATTACGCACGGTCGTCTAGATAGTTTCTTATGGTGTGCCAGCTTGATTTCTTTTGTCGTGCGGTGAATATGTGTGCCGGTTTATAGTGTGCCGGGTTTCCATATATGTTAATAAGTCACGTGATATCCTATATTTTGCATATGCAAGTTGATGCTGTGCGAAAGTTGCTATGTAGAAAGCGTGAAGGACAAATGGGATATGGCAGAGCGCAAATGTAAAATGTAATGAGAGAAATGTAAAATGTAGACACGTCAAAAAAAGCATTTTCCCAAAAAAACATTTGTCATTTAACACTTAACATTTTACATTTAACTCTTGCCTTAGAGGTATTTTGACTTTATCATTATCGGTATTAGGACTTTTTACATATAATCAATGGAAACGACATTGTCGCACAGCATTTAATATTGGCAGCGATACCCTTCCATAGTTATAGTGGTAAAACGCAGTGCCAGACTGGTGATCCGAAGGCCCACCTGTCAGGTCATTGACCAAGGCCCACACAAGTATGCGCCGAAGGAGCGTCGCGAGCGTTCGAGGGGGGTCTGGGGGGGGGGGGTCCCCCCCTAGGAAAATTTTGAAAATTGACAACCGCAAACCCGTTTTCTAAGCATTTCAGACCAAAGCAGAAGAAGGCAAATATTTGATTTCCTGGTACAATTAGATAACAAAATGACCTAAGAGCACTATCATTAGATGAATTTGAGAATTCTAGTACACTTTTTTTCTTGTGTTGTTTGTCAGTCATTTTTTTCCTATCTTTTCTTTCTCCTGTCTGTATCCTGTCCTCTCCTTCCTTCTTTCTTTTCTCCCCCCTCCCCTCTCCTTCCTTTCTCTATTCTTTTTTCTTTTGTCTTTCTCTTTTTTCTTTTTTCTTTATAGGTTAGGCCCACTTTTTTTTTAATGAGCTTAGGCTTTTAATGTTACGGACAGGTGGGCCCAGCCTGGCACTGGTAAAACGTATGCACTTTAGATTATAAGGTATGCGGTTCCGATTCCAAGTTTGTGTCGTCTGCCCAACTTCGGGGCTTCTTTCCCCCACAGTCAAATTTTACCGTATATTAGTTCCGATATGACCGAGTTTGTGTGTCGAGTGGATGTTGAACAAAGGGGACTATAAGATATTGCTTTCTTTACTAAATTATCCACGTTTGTCAGCGTTAAAACATCACCCCGTCTTCATTAGCCCAGTATAATTAACACCATCTGTTACAGATCCTATGAAATACAAGGATTTTTTCAAAATATTATATTCTATATTTATATTATGAATTGAAGGACATAATAACTGATCGACAGATAATTACTAACCAATGTACATTACAGTAATAATTAACGGCTGCGGATTTGAAAGAGTGGGCGGGGAGTAACTTGGTGATAATGGGGATCGAGCGATTTGAGATCGCGCCTCCTTTCTATCTGTTTAGGATTTCGTTTCATACCATTTTACCTACAAAAACGCCATGTTTTTTGTGTAAATGTATTTGATTTAGCGGGGGATGGGGGGGGGGGCTTAAAAATGTATGGTTAGGAGCCAAATTGGGCACCGATCACACCCAACGTAAGTCCAACAAACAATATGGACATACATGTACATATTTAGATTTTTTTTCTCCAAAACTCCATGAAGGATATTCGAGCATAGGAAACATTTCCGTATCCCTATTTGGTGTTTATACTGACGCACTTACTTTAAAGATACATTAGTTAAGCGTTTATAAGGTGTTGGCCATTCTTGCTATAATAATTCAAAAATAGATGATACTTTGTTCTGAATGGAATTGTCACTGTTGGAAGTTTGGACTAGAAATAGGCATCAACTGTGTCTGCACCGTCTATGAGAATTGGCGACCATTTGATTGACAGACGATAACTCCACCTACATATTCTCGATTATCAAGTAACATACTCAATGGCTATGATAAACTCGCTTGGCAGGCCTTTCATCACCAGTTTCCGGTAGTGACATCAGCGACTAACGGTAAATGTTAGCTTGGTCCGCCATTTATTGATTTAATTTTAAATGAATGACTGTTTAAATCCGCCATCCGTGGGTCTACAGAGGTGATTTTGAGCTTTTCGAGTCAATAAAGGTCTAATTAATAATTTCTATAACATCTGAAGCCTAAATAAAGACTTGCAATAGGCAGATTTAGCTCTAGCATAATGTATGTTTAAGTTTGGCCCCTTAATTTGCAGTGCCGGACTGGCACACTAAAGGAGAAGTAGGCAAATTTTTGATTTCCTCATACAATTAGAATGACCTAAGAGCACTATCATTAGATGAATTTGAGAATTCTAGTACACTTCTTTTTTTGTGTTGTTTGTCAGTCATTTTTTTCCTATCTTTTCTTTCTCCTGTCCTGTGTCCTGTCCTCTCCTTCCTTCTTTCTTTCTTTTCTTTTCTCCCCCTCTCTTTTCTTCCTCTTTTCTTTTTTTTTCTTTTCTCTTTCTCTTTTTTCTTTTTTCTTTATAGGCTTAAGGGGATCCACGGTGGCTAGGTGGGTAAGGCGCTGGCTCGCTAGCCTGGAGGTCGGGTGTTCGATCCCTGCATTGGCCGAGAAAGTTCATCCCGATTTTCCGACGTGGTTTCCCCTTGTCAGTGATGCAGGACGGAGGGCCTGACAGGGACAGATGTCTAGTCCTTCGGATGAGACGAAAAACCGAGGTCCCGTGTAAACATTGGAATGCACGTAAAAGATCCCTTGGCAGTTGGAATTCGATATAAGAGTAGGCGATAGTGCCGCTGCCCGGGCAAAATTTCCCTCATAGCACACTGTATGGCGTATGCCCGTCTTCATTAGCCCAGTATAGGAGCAGAACAGTAGGACGTTAAACCCCATTTCATTTCATTTATAGGCTTAGGCCCACTTTTTTAAATGAGCTTAGGCCCACCTGTCACGGACAGGTGGACAGGTGGGCCCAGTCCGGCACTGTTAATTTGTAATTAAAAAAATGGAAGGTACCGAAACAAACCGAGGCAGAACACGGTCGAGTTCGAAGAATAGCAGCCTGATTAATTGTAGAATGATTATCATATTTTATATAAATATCCAGCATTTTGACATTGTCATTGTTAAATATTAATGAAATTCAACAATTTCTATATAGCTATAACATATCACGTTCCAGTCATTGACTTTTATTTTATATTTACTCTTCACAAAAAGTAGGGGATATTGAAATGCAAATACCTGTGCAGGTTGTGATATGATAAATAGTCATGGACACTTGACATGCTTTGAGAATATGTTCACAGATGAAGAACTTATCGCCCCAACAGAACCACTGAGCTGCACCTGCGACACACAATAGCTCCATACACGTGAGAGGGGTTCATTGTCAAATTTGACACTTCAAGGAAGGGTTGATGAAAACTGCCGCGTGCTGGTTTATCCTATCCATGTTTGCTTTCCTGTCGGTTCTTGCATAAGATTTACTGTTTAGCTTATCTTTGCTTTAGTGTGTTACGTTTAATTTGCAATGAGACGTCTTCAACATGACGAACGTCTACGTGCTATTGGCATGCTTCAAATGGGTTCTACACAGCGAGCAGTAGCCAACATGCTTAATGTGTCACAGTATGTGATCAGCAGACTGGAACTCGTCAGCACATGGCAAACAGGCGTCAATGGTGTAGGCAGCGTAGAAATTGGGGTAATTGTCGATGGGCGCGTGTAATGTTCTCAGATGAGTCCAGATTTACTCTGGATTTTACCGATAGGCGTGTTCGCGTTTGGAGGCGTGTAAATGGGCGTCATGCTAACGTTAATGTCAGACAGCATGACAGATTCGGGCGTGGGTCTGTTATGGTGTGGGGAGGAATCACCATGACTGGCAGAGAGCGGACTTGCATATTGTTTAAGGAAGGGTCACTGGTGTGTAGTACCGTGGCCACATCCTGGCACCGATAGTTCTGCCCTTTGCTCAACGTGCTGGTCGACGTTTCATCTTTCAAGATGATAATGCCCGTGCCCACCGCGCTCGTCCCGTGAATGATTACCTCCAGCGTCACCATATTGTCCATAACCCTTGGCCAGCCATGAGTCCTGATCGTTCCCCTATAGAACATGCCTGGGGCATGATCGGGAGATGTGTTCGTCGACGTCAACGTCAACCGACAACACTGCAAGAATTGGCCGTGGCACTGCAAGAGGAGTGGGTCAGATTTCCCCAAATCGCGATTGGACGGTTGATTAGGAGCATGCCACGACGAATTCCTGAATGTCTGAGGATTGGTGGAGCAATTACAATTATTAAGACAAAAAAATCAAAAACGTCCATTTTCACTTTTGACAGTGTATCTCTCTGTGAGTAAAATGGGGCCGTCAGATAAGCCGCCCATATGAACTGTTTATGTTCATGTTTAGGCAATTGGCCTGTTATTAACATACACTGGTTACCTCTAATAAAAACAGCAGTGCATTTTTCGCAGTTTTGCATTGTTTTTGAATATCCCCTACTTTTTTTTTGGGAGAGTATATTATAATAAAGGCGTATAATTAAATATAAATATCTTATTTAAGAGATTAGTCTGCTAATTGATTCAGTTTATTATTTCATTCAGGTTTTTAAAAAACCTGACAATAAATCTACTTCTTTTTCTTTTTGCCCTTTTTGCCCCTTTTCTTCTTTTTCTTTAAACCCGCGCCCATTTTCAAAATAGCACTGAATATATTATCGTTCATTCGATGGGTAGTTCGTATTTTAACGCCTTTCAGTTTTTCTGCTTTCCGGAAAGTAAGCCCGTCCATTAGTTCTTTTCCACCTATATCTCCAATTAAATTATCATCTAAATCAATTTCCTCTATCCCGTCACAAAACATTAACAACTTTTTAAACAATGCCATGCAAATCACTGGTGCTAACTTTCCGTCTTCACCCATAGAATCAATACCATTATCGGCTAAATGTAACTTCTTTATCCACGGTCCCACTGGAGGTGGAGGAGGAGGGTGTTTCTTTTTCTTCTTTTTTCCTTTCTTTTTTTTCTTTTTTTCAGTACTCTTATTCAGACCCTTGAATTCGTTTTCCGTATTATCATCAGCACTCGTCCCTAACTTATTATACCGATTCTCCTTTTCTTCTTCCGCTAGTCGAGCTTCCTCTTCTAATTTCTTCTTTGCTGCTTCGGCTTTTTGAAAGGCTTCGAATTCTGCTTGATCGACACAGATCTTAATGAGTTCTATTGTTCCTTCGCATTCTAGGTTGTTGCCATCCAGATACAGTTCTTGTACGGTGGTAGTCGATATGATATTACCCAATAACTTCCCACTTTCTTTACTTAGATCGCAATAACACAGACTAACGGATAACATAGTCTTATTTCCGCCCAAACCTGCACATAAATACTCACATCCTTTGTCTCCAAACTCATTATAATCTAAATTAATCATACTCAAAGTATCACACGAGTTGAAGATGCTAGAAAATCTTTTCACGGAATAAGCTTCCAATAGACAATCCATCATCTCAATTTGACGTACGGGATAAAATGGTTTGATAACCAGAAGTGCCAACGATGCCACGTTTTCGTAAGACATCGGGTAATTCCAAACATAAAGATCTTTAAAATGAATATAACGTTCCTTTCTTAATGCTGCTAGTAATGGATCCAATAGCACGGGCAATTCGCCGCCATTCTCTGTCGATGGGGCGTCAAAAATAAACTTAACAATAAGTTTCGAATCGTCTAAACAAGTTTTCATTGTTTGCTTTATGCTCGGACACATTTGCGAGTCTGTCTGGGCACAAAATTTTTCATAGCTTCTCATTAGACTTTTGACTAGATTTTCAGCTGTTTCATCCTTCTTTTTGCCTTTTTTCTTTCCCTTTCCATCCTTCTTTTTGCCCTTCCTCTCCGCCTTACCTGGCATTTTGCAGACGTTATTAGTGTTCCTACTTTCCCTATTCAGGTTGTCACACACTGTTGTTAAGGGGTGCCTCTATTCTTTCAACACAGCTGTACATAATTCGAACAATCCTTGAAAATAAGGTAACACTATCGCTTATATTAGCTATAAACTCACCGTAGAATAATATCGTTAAGGCCAATTACTACATTTTATACTGATATCTCAATGGCAGTTCATACACTAGAAAAACAACCCGATTAGCCCCTACCGGTTACCTTCCAGGTTATTATAGCAATGTATATCTTTATTATTCATACATATTAGCCTATATTGTGGGCAATAATAATCCGTTACTATTCTTATTGTTGTAGTCACGTGGTTGTAAGTAGTTTAGTTGCTAGCCGTCTAAAAGCGTGTCTGTGACCTGTAGGTAAATATAATGTATCCACATACCTGACTTGGATCACACAGCGATATTAATTTGAATGGATTAATATTAGATTTAATGCTTCGTCACGACATAATATGGCTATTTTTAAAAATAAAGATTTAATTACGTTGGAAATTGTTTTTACGATTATGCTATAGTTGTGTAGCCAAATGTATGTTATAAATGTTGACAAAGAAAATGTCAGTCACATCGTTAAAGCGATCTGATTTTTCACCCTCCTTATGTCTATAAACAAAAAAGGCAACCCATAAGAAATATTTGAACTCTTAATACATAATATATTTATTTGCTTTGACGGTTGATCTCCAGCAATACATTATTTCTAAAAGTACTTTAAAACCCTTTTAGCTATTAATTTTAAAATTATTAATTCATTATACTAGTACAGTAAAGAATTTAAAGTATAAAATAGACGATATCACTCTACATTCCTGAATCATTGAAATATTTGAACTCTTAATACATAATATATTTATTTGCTTTGACGGTTATCTCCAGCAATACATTAGTTCTAAAAGTACTTTAAAACCCTTTTAGCTATTAATTTTAGAATTATTAATTCATTATACTAGTACAGTAAAGAATTTAAAGTATAAAATAGACGATATCACTCTACATTCCTGAATCATTGAAATATTTGAACTCTTAATACATAATATATTTATTTGCTTTGACGGTTGATCTCCAGCAATACATTATTTCTAAAAGTACTTTAAAACCCTTTTAGCTATTAATTTTAAAATTATTAATTCATTATACTAGTACAGTAAAGAATTTAAAGTATAAAATAGACGATATCACTCTACATTCCTGAATCATTGAAATATTTGAACTCTTAATACATAATATATTTATTTGCTTTGACGGTTGATCTCCAGCAATACATTAGTTCTAAAAGTACTTTAAAACCCTTTTAGCTATTAATTTTAGAATTATTAATTCATTATACTAGTACAGTAGAGAATTTAAAGTATAAAATATACGATATCACTCCACATTCCTGAATCATTGACATCGAACATTATTAACCATTGTCATAATTGAAAATGAAATGAAATGGGAATTAACGTCCGACTGGGCAAATGAAGACGGGCTACGGTCTACTCTTATATCATATTCCAACTGCCAAGGGTTCCTTTATGTGCACGCCAATGTTTTGACGGGACCTCGGTTTTTCGTTCCATCCGACCGACTATACGTTGTCCCTTGCCAGGCCCTCCGTCATACACCACTAACACCACGCTGGAAAATCCAGATGAACTATCTCGGCAAACATCCGGATCTAGGACCACCAGGTTAGCGAGCCAACGTCTTACTAACTGAGCCAGCAAAGGCGATTGTTTTATTGTCTACAAATTTCGCTTGTCGACTAATTAGGACCGTCGATACATCTTTTGTCATCTATACCAAACCGATAGCTGTTATATAGCCCCCGATTAAGCTTTTCGGAAATGTATAGTTCATTTCAATCGTGGTAGAAAAACTGCTAGAAGTAATCTTATGGAAGGATAACGTTGTCAATATTATTTCATTGTTCACGGTGCAAACTGCAAAATGTCAGTAGTTCAAAATACGTATTTTAGTTTTACAATTTACAATTTCCATTGCTCAACATTATCAATGTCTCGGTGTTAAAATACAGAATACACTTTTCAATAATACAAAATACAGTAGAATAGTTATTTTGCACATTACACTTCTGCATTCTGCATTTTGCATAATAGACAAATGCATAATAGAACCTTGCATAGTAGAACATATACCTTATATGGGATGTACGACGTACGTTATTTGCATACGGAAAAAAATCCGGACTATGACGGAAATTAATGATTTACGGGATAAAGCTATAAGGCCGGGGTCATTAGAAGGGGACAGTACTCGATTTTATTAGTCTTAAACGTCCAGGCTCTATAATGTAATCAGTTCGACGATAAGAGGATTCTGAAAGATAATAGTCTGGTTTAACGAGACTATTCTTATTTTTCTCATCGGTAAAACCCCCCCAGATATTTCAAGTTAATCAATTTCTTGTTAAAAATTAAATTGAATATCTTATTAATTGACTGGTCTCTAAAACCCTTTTTTGGGGTAAGGTTAAAGTATCTTATAGTAACCGAGCGGAATCTCTCACCCGTATTCCAGCACCCGGATTCGAAATGAAGTTAGCACACATATTCCCAGCGCCAATAAAAACCTAGATATAATTATCACGAAAATAATTGTTACCTTTATATTAGAAAATAACATTTTAAGACATATTAATGCAAAGTATATAATAATATGTATTAGACCCCCCCCCCCCCCAAAAAAAGAAGAAAATTTGCTGAAATAAAGATCTTGGACCCACCAAAGCTAGTTTAGAAGTCATTGCGTGCGCAGCGAGCCTACCCTAACCCGATTCCCCCACATATTTAGTACGTTTACGGTAATATATCTCGAAAAGCCTACATAGGAGGCTTCTGAAATTGTGCAGTCTAGTAGTTTATTCATCCCTGGATTCTGTGAAACAAAAAACATTTTGCCGCTAAAGCTGGTTTGGGTGCTTTTTGATGCAGCGTGGGCGTACCCCTTGTTTATTGTACCCACGAACCTCGCCTCGAATCCTGATGCTAGGAACCTTTCGGTGATATAACTCGATACGCCAACATAGAAAGTTAATGAAATTTGGCATGTTCATAGCTTATGCACCTGTCAATTGGGTGAGATAAAGATCCTGGAGCCACCAAAGCTAGTTTAGAAGTTAGTGCGTGCGCAGTGAGTCTACCCTAACACGATTCCCCCATATTTTGAGAATGTTTAAGGTAATATATCTCAAAAAGCCAGCATAGGAGGCTTTTGGATTTTTGTATTCTAGTAGTTTATTCATCCCTTAACTCTGTGACATACAAAACAGTTTGCCACCAAAGCTGGTTTGGGTGCTTTTTGGTGCAGCGTGGACGTACCCCTTATTTATTGAACCCTCGAACCCCGTCGCAAATCCGGGTGCTAGGTACTTTGCGGTGGTATATCTCGATACGCCAACATAGAAAGTTAATGAAAATTGGCCTGTTCATATCTTATTCATCTGTTGATTTGGTGAAATAAAGATCTTGGGAGCCACCAAAGCTATTTTACAAGTTATTGCATGGGCGATGAGCCTACCCTCACCCGATCCCCCCATGGTTTTAGTATGTTTACGGTGATATTTCTCTAAAAGCCAGCTTAGGAAGCTTCTGAAAATTTGTATTCTAGTAGTTTATTCATCCCTTGATTCCATGAAACAAAAAAAACATTTTGTCACCAAAGCTGGTTTCGGTGCGTTTTGATGCAGCGTGGACGTACCCCTTTTCTGCGTGCTCAGTTAGCCTAGTGTGCGATATTTTAGTATGTTTACGGTAATAGTATATTTTTTTTATGAGGGGGGGGGGGTCTATTACATATATACTTTGCATTAATATGTCGTTTTCTAATATAACGGTAACAATTATTTTCGTGATAATTATATCTAGGTTTTTATTGGCGCTAGGAATATGTGTGCTAACTTCATTTCGTATCCAGGTGACCTTATGGCTTTATCGCGTAAATCATTAATTTCCGTCATAGTCCGGACTTTTTTCCGTATGCAAATGACGTTCGTCGTAGATCCCATATAAGGTATATGTTCTACTATGCAAGGTTCTATTATGCATTTGTCTATTATGCAAAATCCAGAATGCAGAAGTGTAATGTACAAAATAACTATTCTACTGTATTTTGTATTATTGAAAAGTGTATTCTGTATTTTTAACACCGTGGCATTGGTAATGTTGAGCAATGGAAATTGCAAATTGTAAAACTAAAATACGTATTTTGAACTACTGACATTTGCAGCTTGCACCGTGAACAATGAAATAATATTGGCAACGTTATACTGTTACCCGCACACTGTTAGTCTAATAAATTAATCGACACTAAAACAACAGGAACTTATAAAGGTTTTAATAAAAATTAGAAACATATATGATACATATAATTTTCGGTTGGGGATAGCAAGGTCAAATTCGGGTATCCAAAATTACGTGGCTTCGGGACGATTTGTGGTCGTCTCTAACTATGTAATATTAATAATTACTTACAAAACACTTCTAAAAACACTTTCTACTACCAGACATAAAGAACACTGTGTTCAAACGCTGTCAAAACACTTCCTTGAGCCAGGATATTACTATCCAGTCTAGAAGGCAAAAGGCTAAATAAAACACTTCGTTAATTACACTTTCTTAAAACACTTCTTGAGCCAGGATGTTAATATCCAGTCTAGAAGACAAAAGGCTAATGCATGGAGTTCGTTCGTTCGTTTCTGGGGTTTTACGTCCACTTCCACCTAAGGTGATATCGTAGACAATTTTAATGCATGGTGGCAATGAGACTCTACTTATTCATCCACCTAGTAATAAAAGGTGGGGTGAAATCCTAAACTAACAGACACAAAATAAATAAAAGAACCCATGCCTCAACTAAACCAACATGACACATGGCTTACAACATGCATAAATAATAATTTGAAAGGATAAAATATACTAAATAAGACTTAAATTAAACATGCCTACTAATTAATAAATTCTTGATATACAAGAAGCTAATATTATCTCCCTTGGACAAGTCGGCATGGAATCTAAAATCCAGACACGGGTACTATCCAAAAAATATGCAGAACTTTTGACACAAAGTAGGCACCACAAAACTAAGGATAGGCACGGATAGCTAGATAATTTATCTACCAGATACATATAAGTCCCCATCAAAAATGTTTACTTACAAAATCTGCCCACTAAATATTATAACAAACTAAGTGAAAATACATATATAAACATAGTAAAGTTCTTGCTTGAAAATACAGTCGGCAGACAC